TGCCTGCCTTTGTCTCTGGAGTGCTGGGATTAAAGGTGTGCACCCAGCACCTCAGAGACTTTTAAAGACTGCAGGATGCCACGTGGTTTCACCTTCTGTTTTACGGAACAGTCAGCTCTTGCAGCTGTAGCACATGCCTGGTGGGCTCTGGACATCTCATGGGGCTTTGTCCACTGTATGGCCACATTTCCAGAGAGCTCCAGTTTACAGGGTAGTGCAGAAAAGCCAACTAGACGAGGATGGTGTACAGATGAGTCACTCCTGAGTGAGCTCGCCTGCGTTCTGAACTGCACCCTTTACAGCTGGAATATGTTAGGCCTGTTAGACCCTCTGTTTCCTGTGACACTCACCTTAGCACTGGGAGAACTTAGTTAATGCCTTTGGAGCACCTACGATCACTTCTGGCCAGCAGGGAGCACTCAATACATTCTCTGAACTCACTTTCTGATTGCAGAGGTCAAAACACCTTTCCATGTTTTTCCATAATCACTGTAACAAATCATCTGAGAAAATTAATTTATAAAGACAGAGGAGTTGCTGGCTCCGTTTTAGAAGTTCTGGTCTGGGACTGGAGGCCTGTCACTGTCTGGAGATGACAGATGATAATAGTGGGGATAAGTGGGGCAGAGCATATCCCCTCACTTCGTGGCCAGTGAGCAAAAGAGATTGAGGGAATGTGGTCCTGCCTTTCCCCGTGAGACCACCCCCAATGAGCTAACATCCTCCCGCTTGGCCCAAACGCCTAAATAAAGACTCTACCATCTCCCCATAGCATTGCCATGACACCAAACCTTCAATAACACTGTAGGAAACTTGAGGTCCCAACCCTAGGAGATAGAATGGACATCAGATCACCCCACTTAGCTCAGTGGTAGGGCACTTGCTTACCTATGTGAAGCCCTGGGTCAAGCCCAGTCCCCACCCTCACCCCCACCCCGTGGTCTCATTTAAACACATGGGTCCTCAGTATTAGAATGGCTCCTGGGGCAGAGTGCTGTCTTCTCCAGGTGCTTTATTAAAAGTCAGTAAGGAACTGCAAAGGTGGTTCAGTGGGTAAGAGCACTTGCGCTACAACCATCAGGACTGGGTTCGAATTCCCACCACTTAGATGAAAAGGCTGTGTGTGTGCCTGTCACCTCAGTGTTGGGGGCTGGAGACAGGTTGATCCAGCCGGTCTAGCCCAAAAACAAGTTTCTTGTTCAGGCAGAGACGCTGTGTCAAGTCAGTAAGATGGAGAGTGATGGAGGAAGAAACCCAACATACTGTTGTGGCCTCTGCATTTGCACTCTTGGATGCTCATATGCACAGGCTTATGTGCAGGCACCACACACACACCCCCCCCCCCACACACCCACACACACACACACACAGACACAGACACACAGACAGACACACACACACAGACAAAGACACAGACACACACACACACACACACACACACACACACACACACACACACACACACCACAAACAAGAGAGGAGGATAAGAAAGGAGAGAGAGAGAGAGAGAGAGAGAGAGAGAGAGAGAGATTTAAAAGGTCCCCCGTGGTTTGTGATTTAGCATTTTCAAAGAAAGAGTCTTATATTGAATTTGACTGAAATGACTTCCAAGCCTGGCTTCACCACAAACTGAGATTTCTGAGGTTCAGAAAGGACATTGGCTTTAGTTTATCTTGTAGGATTTTACCCCACGCATTGGGGTACATTCTGTCATAAGACGTACTTCTTTGGCAGATGCTGTGTGGATATTTCAATATGTTTAGAAATATATGCCATGACTTGAAGCACATAATATATTTGTGAATTTTTCCCTTTCATTGTATTACCATGGCAGTTGATGTTGATAATGTAAAAGCTACAGGATTTCCTTGTTAATTTCAGTTTTAATGCTATTTATTTCTACAGGTATGACCTGCAATTAAACGCTCTTTGTTTTCTGCTGGTGTGTGTGTGTGTGTGTGTGTGTGTGTGTGTGTGTGTGTGTGTGTGTGTGTGTGTGTTCAGTTTGCTCTCTACTCTATTAGGATGACATCTGTGTTTATTGAGAACACAAATGGCCTGATTACTAAATAGCACACCACTTTTTTCTTGGATACCTACATCTTCCTCTCCTTGTCCCCACACATTCTTCTTCTTCTTCTTCTTCTTCTTCTTCTTCTTTTTTTTTTCCTTTGGTTTTTCGAGACAGGGTTTCTCTGTGTAGCTTTGGAGCCTATCCTGACACTCACTCTGGAGACCATGCTGGCCTCGAACTCACAGAGATCCGCCTGTCTCTGCCTCCCGAGTGCTGGGATTAAAGGCGTGCACCACCAACGCCCGGCCCACACAGACTTCTTTCACAATGCAGTCCTCAAAGCAGTGGCATTTGCTCCCTGGGAACTTCTTAGAAATATCTGGATGTTGGCCCTGTACTAGATTCTCAGTGTGAATCTGTACTTTAATGACACTCCGGGTGGTTTGAATGATGTGTGTGGCTCATCGGCTGCTGACATCATCATTACCCACAGCCTTGCTCAAAATGCAGGTTCACTGCATCGTTCCCACGTTCTTCAGTGCAGTCTACAACAGGGCCCGGCACAGGTGCTCTGTTCTCAGCTTCGGCCAGAGAGCATGTGGGGCTACAAGACTTCGTGTGTTAAGTTACCACTGGGCAAAAATCATCTACCTCATCCACCACTTCCCTGCCAGTCCCAAAGGTCCCATCTGTATAGCTTCTAGTGAGTTATCCTTATACTACTGTGTTCAATATGTTTCAGGGTTTAGTCTGTGGTCAGTCCTTTCTCACACTTCCGAGAGCTGTCATTCTCTAATCTTACAGCAATGTAAACCATACAGTAAAATCCTGATCAAGCAAGATGGGGACAATGGAGAAGTGTGAGGCTTAGTTGTGGACATGATCCCAACTGAGACAGAGGGATTGAAATTTTGAAGCCAGCCTGGGATACACAGTTTGAAACCACCCTGGGATACACAGTTTGAAGCCAGCTTTACTTACATAAGAAGACCTTGTCTCAAAGAAAGATGTAAAATTGTCCTGTGGGGCTTTGCAAGTTCTTGGAATCTTTCACTTTACTTTCCCTGCAGTTCCAAGAAGATAATAACGTTGAGAGTTGACATATGAACCCAAAAAGCTCACCTGACCATGGAACCAGGCTTCGTTTTTTTGTTAGAGACAGTTTTAATGAGCCGTTTCCTTCTGTGCTGCGGCAGACCATCAGTCTAAGTACCCCTTCCCAGAAAACACAGTGTGCCCTAAGCTAACCCTTCAGGGAAGGAGTGAAAATACGAATTATATCTCATAATCTGTATGATTTATGGTAAAGGACCATCATTTTCATCACAGTTACTATTCCTCTCTTTAGTCCATTTTTTAGCTAGAATGGAGTGTCATTGCAGTATAACCAGGGGAAGTCAAGACTCACAGCCTGTAGATCACAATCAAAGCCGTAAACCCCAACCTGCCGGTACTGGGTACTGTGTAATGATGTTTACCATTGCATGGGATGAGAAAACTGTGTTTTAATTGCATCTGAAAAGGTCAAGGGAAACAGGAGTGCTGAAAGGATATTGGTGTTGCCTCTCACAGCATCTTTACAAGGGTTAGAGGCACAGTTCGTCTAGGCTAGCCACAGGTGGGCATCTCCTCCCTGTGAGGTCATTTGATGCATCTTGACCTTGTAGTTCTTCAGAGGTGTTTGTAACCGTTGCTACATTGCCTCTTCCCAGCATCCTTTGTCCAGTTACAGGAGCAGTTAAATATCCTCCTTGTACAGATTCAGAATCATTCAGAGAGGAGCTCAATTCTGCAAAGCCTGGCCTCCAGCCCAGGTCAGAACGGGTTCCTCCCAGCAGCCGGCTCAGTCTGCTCCCCCCTCTGCTCCACTCATTCCGAACAGAAGGGTTGCTGACAAGCAAATCTGGGCACAGAAGGCTTGTCTTCTCAACACCCAGGGAGTTGAGGCAGGAGGATCTCAAATATCAAGCCAGCCCAGACTGCACAGTGAGGCCATGTCCCAAAAAAACAAAAAACAAACACAAACAAAAAACAGAAAAGAGAAGATTTGCAGATGGCTTTTGCCAAGGCTGCTTTGTCCTCCCTCCAGCATCCCTCACGTGCACAAAACTTCTGCTTGGTTTTTTTTTCTCTCCATCCTCTCACTCTTTTGTTCACTCTTCCTTCCCCTGTTGCCTCTTGACCAATAATCCTTGTCTGTACTTTCTGTTACTCTGATATATTTTACCCAAGAATCCACATGGAATCACAAAATCATTTCTAGCCCATGTGCCTTACAGTTGACATAAAATCAGGGAATCCAACAAAAGGAACAAAGGCTCTAATTCTTGGAATCTCTTGGATCCAGAGGCAGGGAAATGGAGTGCTGGACCCTCATCTGGGTTGTGTAGGTCAACCTTAAAAACAGCCTCACACACCCAGTGTGCATGCTGCACATATGTGTACATGTATGTGTGTGTGTGTGTGTGTGTGTGTGTGTGTGTGTGTGTATACTAGTGCGTGCGTGCATGCATGTGATATTCAGGATAGAGTCTCAGAAATTGGAAATTGGTCCTGGCTGACCTCTTTCTGTGTTAGCAATGCAAAGAAAGTTCCCTGAAAAAAGCCCCATAATCTCTTTCTTCTTGCTCTTAGCCCCAAGCAGCAAGCCAAGATGGCTGAGTATTGCCGATTAATCTTTGGTGATGCCCTCCTTATGGAGCCACTGGAAAAATACCCAGTAAGTAGCTGTGATGTGTGCCTTTGAAGGAGGGCACTTATTAGTTACAGAGATTAACAGTATGGTTTGCTCCATGGGACTCTAGCACTGGGCCTAGCTGAGGTCAGAAGATACGATTCTGTTTCCTTCTCTTTTCCAGTCTTGTCCCTCTGTCTCTGCTTTGAGTGACACAATAGATTTTTGTTGTTGTTGTTGTTTTTGTGAACAAATATCCATTTACCTCAGATAAGTTACTGAGGGCAGGTCAAAGTAGCAATTCCACCAAAGTCTAATTTGGTGCACCATGAGTTTATTGGGGTGACTTCCAGGAACGTAGGTGACAGGGTACTTACAGGAGTGTGGATGACACAATCCGAAAGCCTACTCCAGAAGGGGAATCGACTCGTGAAAGCTACATCTCTGGTGCTCCCTGAGTGATAATGCAGGCGACTAGACAGGTTGAACAGCCTCTCCTCCCTAGCAGCCCACACTGCTTGTGTAACCATGGAAAGGGGCCTTGAGAGTCTTGGTTTCAGGAGCATCCCAAGGGTGTGAGATTTGTTTACTTCCTGAATCCCAACATTCTCCTGTTTCCTTCTAGGAGAGAGAACGTTTCAGTTGGCAGGGATCAATCAAGACTGCAAGGTCCTCATCGATGATAGTCAACTCACAGAGACAGGACAGGACTCTGCAGGCCCCCCACACCACACTGGTGGATCTTTGTCACACCCTTTTGAAATAAATGCAAAAGGTGGCAGCCCTGACTCCTCAGCCTGTTTCTGCCACCTGCTGTCTGCTTGCCTTCCCCTTTGAAGCGCAGCTCAGGCGTCTGTCTATTGTTGTGCTCATGAGCGGATACAATGCCCAACTCTCCCCACGGTATCCATCCATTTAAGAGTAGATCATTGTTAAATGTTATTTGTAAGCACCTCTCTTATTGCTTATTTTTCCTTTAGACAAGATCCCAGGGAGCTGAGTGCATTTGATTCCCTAATGGACAGTTGTTAGCCCCTTTCCTTGTGTCCTGATGCTTGAGCAGAGGATTGTCAGCCAAGCAGCATGTCTTTAGCAGCCAGCTGGCCTGCCCTTATGGCAGTCTGACAGCCCTGAACATTATATGCCGGCACTGAGGGAGCTGTTCTGCAACTAAAGCTTCTTGCTACCAAAGCACAGCTCCAGCTCCATGAAGTACTATTCTAGCCACCTCTTTGTTGAACAGCGTGCACCAGATTTCTTGCTGTCACTAGTCTCGGTGGACTCTTAACAGCCACATTCACAGAGGCCAGTGGGGAATCTGCTTTCTCTTGGCCCGACAGAGACTTGCGATTAATGCAAGCAAGGCCAGTCCTTGACTGATGCGGGCTTGTGCACTGGGATGGGTGCAGACCCCCCTGCCACACCCCCTTTGCCACTGTAGAAGCATGCTATCTAGCTAAATAGGACTCTTGTCCAGAGACACCCTCCTGTGCTGCCCCCTGGCTTTGGAGCATTAGGGTTCATGAGACTTTTCTCTAGCCTGCTTTGCTTTTGCTAGCCAGGTGGCTGGAAGAGGAGCTGGTAGAAGCAGTAGCAGAACAGCATCACCAGGATGACAGTGGGATTCCAAAGAGTGGCCAGGGGCAGGTGCAAAGGTGCTAGAGGCACAATGAGCTGGGAAGAGCTGGAAAAGAAAAAGCTGAGATCCCTCTGTTGGAAGTGATTGCAAAGGAAGCTAAAGTCTTAAGTTCCCAGGGTCCCAAACTATAATGCTAGGGTTTCTCAGTGCCCAGGGTCCTGACACCCTAAGCTCTTTCTGGAGTTAGAAAACAGGTAGGTGCTTTGCCTTGCTGCTGTTCACTGCTGCAGGAAGCTGAAGATGATTACAGCCAGCTGGTGGTTAAGGCCGGACACCATGATCCTCCAACTGGAATGCCAATCACCGTAAATCTTTAGCTTCTTAAGCCTGGATCAGTAGAACCCTGGCCCTCAAGGCTTGGAGCTGTAAGTTACTGGGCATGGCGCTTCAGGCCCCTGGGCTCAGTTTAATGCAGCTTGTAACACCGAAAGAACTTCTCTTCATCTCCTTGTGACTTCTGAGTACAGTAAAAGGACACCACCCAGAGGACTGGGAACAGTCACATCCCTGTTCAGAAAGGGAAAGAGCAGCCATAAAACAAAGGAGCCACTTCCTCCTGGACACTTTGTCCCAGTGTCTGCATGTTGCTAAGTGAGTTCATACCAGTCCCCAGACTCATGGCAATCAAAGAATAGAGGGCTGGCTTATGGGACTTCCGAAGTCTTTCTAAAAATAAGCCTATCTTGTGTCTTGCACATGCTCCTTGATACAGTAGCTCATAACCTTCTCATGGGAAATTGATTTCCCATTTTATGAGCAAACTTGCAACAATGAAATAAGCCTCAGTAATAAAACAACTTGGATCTCAGGCCTAGAAGGAGATCTGAAATCGTGTCATCCCTCTTGGCTGAGTCCAACACCCAACTAAAACCAACATGCTGATTCTGCTGTCTGTAAAGCTTTGTCTGACAGAGAGACTTACTTGGAAACTTTTACACAACTTCACATATTCTTCCTGTCAAATGTCTGGCCTTTCACTGATTCGGGTCAGAGATGACTTACTTGTTCTGCAGTAAAATGGTTGCACATAGACAGTCCATCAGAAAATGCCTGAAAGTTCAGGTTCGGCTATCAAGTCTACCAGTATATTTCTATGGTCTTACTTTTGTAGTTTTGTTGTGGAAAATGAGTTCAGTCGTTTAAACTCATCTTTTATTTTAAAAAAAAAAAAAAACAAGAAATGCAGGTCTCAATTAGAACTCTGTCATTAGACGTGTTGAACATAATAAATGATAATCTAGATGCTGTGGGTTCCAATATCTGAATATTTCGTGAGATATCTGAAAGGAGGAGACAGGTTTTTGTTTTTATTTTGTTTTGGTTTCAAAGCAGTTAGTTCTTGTTTCTTCATCTTCTTCATGTAAAAAATATAAACAAGTAGAACTTTATCAATTTTCAGTATAAATACTGACATAACTAAAACATATGAAATAACATGAAAGCAATATTCATGGGGAAATGATACAAACACACACATAGGTCTGATTGGCTAAGATGTTAAAGTCAGTTAACAAAGTGTGATAGCATATCATTCATGCTTAATAACTAATATTTGGCGGACAGTATTTTTTAAGGACTGTGCTTTCTTTTAAACAGCTGGAATCTGGGGTACCTCTTCCAAGCCCTATGGATTTAATGTATAAAATCTTGGTGAAAAACAAGAAGAAATCGCACAAGTCATCGGAGGGAAGTGGCAAAAAGAAGCTGTCTGAGCAAGCCTCCAACACATACAGCGACTCCTCCAGTGTGTTCGAGCCCTCGTCTCCAGGAGCTGGTGAGGAGCTACTGGGCTCACGATGAGTGGATTTTTCAGATCTGCTGTTCTGAAATTGGCCTAGGAGAGCTTTTAGCTTTCACTTTTTGGAAGTTTTAAGCTGTATTGCTTTTCCATGGCTACCACAAACTTACAAACAAGGATAACTTAATCTCATGTTCTGTGGGTCCAAAGATCCCCAAGAAAGCTTGTGGAATAAACCAAACGTGTCAGGCAGGCTCAGTTATTTTTCAGAAGTTCTAAGGAAGGATTTGTCTGTCTTTTTCCAAGTCCTAGAGGCTGTTCACATTCACTGGTTCATAGTCCCTTCCTCCAGCTTCAGAGCCAGCAATGTTGTGTCTCTCCAGTCCTTGTGTGGTCAGTTTCACCCTCTGACTACCACTGGGAAATGTACCAGCTCATAGACTCTAGATATCACTTAATATCACTTAGGCTCATGAAGATAGTCTGGGGTAGTCCACCTCAGCCTCACCTCACCTGTACAGTCCTCACATCTGTACAGTCAGCACATCTTTGGGAAGTGTTTCTCTGGCTTGCACTTGAGGCAAATCAGCTTTCCAGTAGCCACTGGCTCTAAGCTTAGTCATGGGCAGCATCAGCGGGAGGAGGGAAGATGAGATTGACCATGCTTTAATGCAGACACTGAAGGGTTCTGGGCCTTGCAGTCCTCCCATGTTTTATAGAGCTCTTTAAAAATGTGAAGTAACTAAATGATTTTTTGCATTGTTAATGAAAGTGAATGCTTAGCACTTCCTTTCCTGTTAGTTTGAAACTGGTGTTTTTTGTGATTATGAGGGAAAAAAATTCAAAGGGCCACTAGTTTTCTTTGGGTCATTTGTCATTGAGCCTAATTTATTTCCCCTTATCCAGGGGAATCCTGACAACTGCAAAGACCTCCTTTTGGGGGGTGTGATGATGTTAAAAGAACTCTAAGTTTGCCATGGGATCCTGGCAGTGCTCTAGGGTACATGCCTAGCAGGGATAAGGCTCTGGGTCCTGTCCTTGGCACAGAATAAAAGGGAGAGAACAGAAGAGGGGAGGAAAGAGGAAAGAAGCCAATAAGGGAAAGGAAGAAGGAAGGAAGATGTTTAATATATTGAGAAAAGCTAAACATGTATTCTCCCCCTGCCCCAGGTCCATTCCTCAGGAGAGAGCTAACAAGAAATGGGTAGTGATAGTTACCACGAGACTGAAACTGCTATAAGCAGCATTATTTAAAATACCCAAACACTAGAATCCATCAACTGATTGTAAATCATGCTGGAGTCATACAAAAGAATAATGTGTATGACGGGGATGATTTCCAGCTGTCTGTGAAAGGGTATGTGACTATTAACACAGCAGCCAGCAAAAGAAGTCAAATGCAAAAACATGTAGTTGCTATATACCTCCATCTCCATAAGGTTCAAAAGCAAACAAAAGACAGACAGACTGTTAGAAGTCAGGGTAACCACTGCCCTTAGAAGTAACTAGAAGGGCACCATAGTGTCTTCGGGAGTCTGGTCATGTTTTCTGTCTCAGTGTCAACATATTATTTGATGAAAATCCATGCAGTGTTCATGTGTCTGTGTTTCCCTATGCCCATTACACATAAATTTAAAGATTTGTACACAATTGGAATATGCAAGTATAAAGTCTGGGGCAATCAGAACAGAAGCATGGCCTCCTTGTTTGGTTGATTATTTGGGTCTGGTTCTCTGTTGTGCTGTGGCCTCTCACATCCTAGGCAGGTGCTCTACCTCTGAGCATCTTACACCCCCAAGCCCTGGCTGAGACTGGTTTACCTTTTCTTCTCCTTTCTGTCACACTTTGTCAACTGCTCTTATTATTTAAATCGGAAGCCTGACCAGCAGACATTATATCATTCTTTCAAAAGACTTTCCCCCACCCCCGTGGTTCACGAATGTGTTTTTTCAAATATCGTGACATAATTCTGATTCATTTCTGAAAAATAACTTCCGTTCTTAGTGAGAATGCATTTGAAGTGTGAAATGACTGTCATTAGAGGCCACTTCTTCCCCAACCTGTCCCCATGTGTCTTCCTTTGCACGTGGGTGCTTGGTGGCGTTTGTGCCATCTGCCTTCTTCTACTTCCAGTTTTGCCTCTCATTAACTGGATGCATAACTCCAATAATGGCTTCTACAGGCAGTGAGCACGATTGCTTAACACAGAGAAAAAGCAGCAATCTGTTAGCAGTTCTCCAGGTTTCCTCAGCTCGCCAGGAGTCTGTTGGGCAATCAGTGTTTATTGCCATGCAAATTCTTGAAGGTTTTAATATGTAGGTAGGCCCCTGAATAAAGAGTCCCACATTCACCATTTGTTTTGTGGCTATGCCCAGTACTGGAAACTCAAGCAACTACAAAAACATGGCCTGGATCTTATTTCAAAAGCTAATTTACTCTGTGGTGTAGAGTCCTCTTCTGGGAGCCAACCCTTAGCCAGTATAATTTCCAAAAAGCACTAGAATCAAGGAAGATAATATTTTGGGGGTATTCTTATTGTTGCTTTTTAAAAGGGTATTATATTTTATATTTCAAGTAGATTTCTCCAGGGTCCTTTCCAGGTCTCTCGGGAAAAGCCCCATAAGTATTTACAGTCTCTGCTGTGCTGAAATATAAGTCCATATCAGTATGTCTTTCTTCCTTAAACTTGCAAAGGAAAAGGCGGGTCTTGATCTCACATAGAGGAAGATAAGGTCTTTCTTCCTCACACAATCCAAGATATGAGCTGACAGTGTATCTGAAATGATGATTGGACAATTGTTACGTCTTAAGGAACATTTTGTAGAAGGTTCTGTCAATCATCTTTTCAGATTGCTTGATTAAAAGAATCCCTCTCTGATTAAAAACAATGCAAAGAAGAACATCAGGCAAAATAAATGTATATGAAATATCATGAAGCAATCTCCTAGAACATTGTGTTTGTAAAATAACATATATATATATATATATATATATATATATATATATATATATAC